CTTCAAGTTATTTTGTGGATATTGATACAATGATTCCAAAGTGTACACAAAACAGCAAAAGATGCTGATTAGACAATACGATACTGAAGAAGAACAAAGTTAGAAGAGTGACACAGCCCAACTTTAAGACTTACTATAAAGTTATAGTAAAAAAAAAAAAAAAGACAGTGTTGGCCCTCCCTGGTGGCGCAGCGGGTTAAAGCACTGCACTAAGAAGCTTAAGCCACTTCAGCTTGAGTTGATTCCCGCCTGCCCAGGAGGAGATCCACATGGCGTAGCAGACCTCTTCTGACCACCCGCTTCTCCCCTTAGCAGTGTACTGCGTCAATCTGCCTGTTCTACTCCCCACGCTGTCTCTGGTGAATCCTCTCACCCTCCGCATCTCTGGACTGTACCCCAGTTCTATATGAATAAATAAATAAAGCTTAAAAAAAAAAGTGTTGGTGAAAAATCAGACAAGGAGTTCAACTGAACAGAGAGCCCATGAACAGACCACATATAATCAAAAGATATTTAACAAAAGAAACAAATAATACAGGGAACAGAAATATTCACTTCAACAAATAGTACAGGAAAAACTAGATATCCACATATAAAAAAAACAAAAACAAAACTAGAGATAGTCTTTACACTATTCACAAAACTTAACTCATGGATCACAGACCTAGATATAAAGCATAAAGCCTTTAGAAGATAACATAAAAAAAAAAAAAAACCTTGATAAACTTAAGTGAGATTTTTTTTTAATATGACACCAAGGGTATAACCCATGAATGAAATAATAAACTGGACTTCATACAATTAAAACTTTCTGTTGTACTCTCTGAAGAACATGCCAAGACTAGGGGCAGTCAAGTCACAGAAAAGATAAACCTGATAACAGAATTTACCCAAAACATACAAATAATTTTAAAACTAAACAATAAGAAAATTAAACTACCTTAAAAAATTGGCTAAAGGCAATATTTCTCAAATATTTCAGATATCAAATAAGGAAGCAGAAAGAGTTCCACATCACATATCATCAGTGACGTGCAAACCCAACTGCTATATACCCAGATATTCGCCAAATGCTAGGGAGAATAACAGAAATTCTCATTCATTGTTGATGGAAATATAAAGATGTATACAGAAAGTTAAACATCCTTTTACTACACAATTCAGCAATAATACTTTTTGGTTTTTATCAAAAGAAGTTGGAAACCACCCATAAAAATTCTGCACATCAAAATTTATAGTGGGTTTATTGATAATTGCCCAAATTCAGAAAGAATAAAGACATAGGTTCCTCCGTGGTGGCACAGGGATTAAAGCACAGCACTATGAAGCTATCCCCAGCAACTGCAGCATGAGTTTGATCTCTGGCTAGGTAGGTGACCCACATGGTACAGCAGGCCCCTCCTGACTCACCCACTGCTCTCCTCAGCAATGTGCTTCAGTAGATCCACATATTCTGTTCTCCATTCTGTCTCTGGTGAAGACTCTAAACCTCTGCAACTCTGGACTGTATCTCCTATCCCTTATTGGTTCCCCTTTATTCCTCCTATAAATGAAACCATTCAATATTTTTCTTTTTCCTTCTGTATTATTTCACTGAGCATGATCCCTTCAAGCTCTGTACTTGCTGCTGTGAACAGCATGAATTTATCTTTTTGATTACCAAATAGTATTCCATTGTACATGTATACACCACATCTTCTTGATCCAGTCATCTATTGGGTATTTGGGTTGTTTCAATACCCTACATATTGTGAATAGTGCTGCAAAAATCACAGAGGCTCAGGTATCTTTTTGAATTAATGTTTCTGTGTCCTTTAGATCGATTCCTAGATATAATTTAGTAAGTAAATCTGAGACAAACCAGACAATTGTATAGTGGTCAACACTACAAAGAAATAAATTATCAGTCCATGCAAGAGCTAGAGGAAACTTAAATGTATAGTACTAGTCAAAGAAGCCAATTTGAAAAGGTCACCAACTATATTCCAACTACACATGACATTCCAGAAAAGGCAAAACTATAGGTTTGGGGATAGGTACAAGTAGCATTCCAGAGAAATTCCTAGGTAAAGCACAGGGGATTCTGGTGGCAATTAAAATACTTGTCTGATACCATAATTAGTCATACATATTATCATACATATATCCAAACCCATGGGCTGCACAATACTAAAAGTGAAACCAAACTACCTGCTTTGGGTGAAAATGATGCCTCAATGTAAGTTCATCAAGTATAACAAATGTACCACTATGATGGTAGATGTCAATAAATAGGAGTTTATACATCTGGGAGAGAGTTAAAGCATATATGGGATATTCTGTACCTTGTTCTCAATTTTGCTGTATACTTAAACTTTTCTTAAAAATTGAATTTTTTATAAATACAAGTGTTCTAAATTGTATAAAGTGTTGTAAACCAGTGTTACTGCAATAAAAATAATAAAAAAAAAATTAGTAAAAATAAATAAATTTTGGGCCCCGCCCTAGTGGTGCAATGGGTTAGGACACAGCAGTGCAAGCTAGCCACAGCCACTTCAGTGTGAGTTCAATCCCTGGCCCCAGAGGTGATCCACATGGCGCAGCAGACCTCTCCTGACCCGGCTGCTGCTCCCCTCAGCAGTGTACTTTGTCAATCTGTCTGTTCTGCTCCCCACTCTGTCTCTGTTGAAGCGTCTCACCATCCCTGTATCTCTGGCTTGTACCCCAGTTCTGTATGAATAAATAAATAAATCTTTAAAAAATAAAAAGAACCTTAAAAAAGTAAAATAAATGTAAAGTACTTGTTAAATAAAGTATGATAATATCATAAAAAAGACAATAAAATATGATAGCAGCCCAATGAAAGAGAATCAGAATCTATAAATGAACTTAAACATCTGTTATCACTTGATATTTGATCATGGTGTCAAGGGTATTCAATGAGAAAGAAAGTATTTTCAACAAATTTTTCTGAGAAAATTAGATAACCAGATACAACATAATGAAACTGAATTCCTATTTCACTTTGTACACAAGAATTAAGTTAAAACAATAAACATTTCAAAGAGCTAAAATTCTAAAATCCACAGAAAAATAACTAACCTTTATACCCTCAAATCTTTAGTAGATTGTTAGATGTAACACCAAATCATATACAACAAAAGGAAAATAGAAAAGTGGACCTCATTAAAATTTAGAAAAAAACTACTGTACATCAAAAGAGAGTATGAATACAGTGAAAATCCAATATATAGAATGGGAGAAAACATTTGCAAATCACTTATAATTTATATCTAGATTATATAAAGATTTATATAGATTATATAAAGGTTTAATATCTAAATTATATAAAGAATTTTTTACAAAATCATAGTAATAATAAAGACTAGTATGTGAATTTCAGCTCAATATAATTCAGTAAATGGATAAGGAACTCACTACCAAGAAATAAAGTAATAAGGGTGGGGGACAAGTAGTCTGGCATATAAAACACTCTTTAGTTTGCAAAAGGAATGCTAATAAGTATATATAAGATGCAGAGGTACGTTAATCAGAAGATTCTATTTCAAACATTGTATATCAGGGCAGTCTCAGAATTTTAGAATGAACTCTTTGACAAGATATTTGACCGTAATGTGATAGAATTTAGATCAGTGAACTTCATTTATGGCTAAAACTATTACTCAGATTTTGAACATGGCTATAGTGTGTGTACTATTCAATACAGTGAACATTACAAAGCTGGATTGAGTGCTTTCCTCATATTACTGACTTTCTGGACTAAATAATCCATTCACATCCAGTCAGAGCCACTAAACACTGGCCTCACTGGAATGAGGGATGTTTGCTCCTCTCCATTCCTGATTCATGTTAATGGTGCAAAGGTCTGGATATATAATCCTTAATGTGCTGAACAGACTATTTCTAGAATCAGACAACACCAGGAGGCAGGGCTAGGGCTTGCACAGTGAGTCTGTCAAGTCAAGTGAGAACAAGCTGGAAGCAGCAGAGAAGTTACCAGAAGGAAATACATATATATATGTATATCAGCACGCACACAACCTCAAATCACAGAGTCTGAGATCTGATCAGTCTTATCTGATCTTAAAAAAAAATTCTAAAACTAGCTTTAATCAATTTTATAGAAAAGTAGGGCAAATAATGCTAAATCTGTGTGTCTATATCAAATTTGCAAAGATCTTATGTATTTCATAAAGCCTTTCATGGCTATTTCCATATTTTAAAATATGGGTTTCTGGTCACTCGGCTATTTTTATTTTTTCCACTTAATTTTAAAGTTTGATGACTAATCTTAACATTTTCTAAGGAAATAAAAAAAATTACAAAACAGTAGAATTCTAAAACCTAAAAACTAAAAAGTTTAAACATCTGCTCCATTGATGAATGACATATTCCTTTCTGCATGTTTTCATATATAATTTTTAGTGAAAGACTATTAATTTCTGATAGATTTGTTTTTAGAAGGTTCAAATTACATATTTCTGTGGTGAGGAATTAAAAATTACTAGAAAGAGTCCCTACTTCAGTAATTAGCTGAGTCAATAAGATGTTTTGTCCCTACTTCAGTAATTAGCTGAGTCAATAAGGGACCTGACAAGTCTGTAGACTCCTTAATTCTCCCTTATGTTTCTAAAATTTTATATTTAACTACAAAATATTATAATCTTACCATTCAATTAGAGATAATGTAAGTTATATGATAAATTACGTAGCTAGAAACAGCTTGTTTTAAAAGTTGATCCACAGCAACAGTACTAAATTTGTTAGCTGAAACATCTTTGTAACCCTTGTTATAATGACCAGCTAATACATCTTTATAAAGAGAGTATTATTTTCACTATGGGGAAGGGTGTACAGACTTAAGGCATTTAGGTCAACAGGAGCTAGGACAGTATTTTATACAGCTTATATTGCAATGTGATTTGCATAAATAAAAACAAGAATAGGCACTGCCACTCACACAGGGGTAACTTCCAAGAAAACCCAGTCGGTTCATTTACCTTGGGGTGCTATTAGAGTTCTTCCAGTCTCTTGACACCAGCCAACTGGCTGGACATAAGGACTATTGACGTCACACCTGGAAAAACAGTTATCTATTTTAGAGCCCATATTATTCAAGTCTAGAGAGAGAATCCCAAAATAATGACCATTCTGCATATTAAAAGATACCTGAGGAATATTATCTCACAGCTAAAACATGTTCTTATTGCTAAAATTAGAGTAATTTTTATGACTATGTTTTATAAGCTGAGTCACAAAACTACTGTTGCATTTTTTGTTAATTTAAAAATGTTAAAAATATGTATTTGACTAGGACCTGATCTGCCAGTGACAGCCTCAAAGACTAAATATTTTAGCAAGTCTCTTTTTACCCCTTCTTGCCAACAGCAAGGAAAAATATGACTAAGCTATTCCAAATTTTAAAGGCTAGCCCAATCAGACTCCTTATGACTAATTATTTTCTTTCTCTCCTCTTCACAATATCCAGACAATTCTTCCTAAGACACATATCCTATCAATAATTAATGTTATGTTCTGCTTCTTGATGCAAAGAGGATAACAAGACCCCCCTCCCCTTTCAGGCCCATAATGAACCACCACTTCAGACAAGGTTATTCAGTACATACAATGAAAAAACACTACAAAAATTATTTTTGTCATTCCCTTTTCCATATTTCAGGTTTTTGCTCAGAAAATATTTTTTACTCACGCAATGATAGTTCAATGGCTTTACAGCATACATTTTCTTTGTTCCCCCACCAGGATTTTCAAATAATTTATTCCATTGCACCTGAATCTTCCCTTGTGCAAATATGATACTCTAAGTTCAACATTTATCAGGAAAAGTAATACTGTAAATTCTCAACTTTCTCTACACAGAAATGTTTCCTGTAAGGCTACACACAATATAGTGAAGTGTCTGAACTGGTACATGAAGCCTCGTTAGTTAACCTTTCCCAGAAAGTTTCTTTGTGTTCTTTCATTCAGCAGTTCATGTCGGGGAGGAAGGTAGTGAAAAATTATTCACTGAATTCCTGATGTTTGTTAATATTAAACAGTACCGGAATTAAATAAAGTTTTAACACCAAACAAGAACACACAAAAATAAAACGCACATTGGTATCTCACCAGTAATCGTAACTATCATCCCAGTTGTCAAAATGCACTAGTAAGCGATCTTCAACAATATCTGCTATGGTTGCCACACACACCAAGGAGGGGTTCTTCCTGTCGACAGCCTCCAGCTTCATTCCAACCTGAAATTCTTTTGGCACTGGCCCATTCTAACACAGCACCAGAGGGAAGAGGGACAAATAAATAAATAAATAAATAAATAAATAAAAACAGGACACCAAACAGGACTGAGCCACTGTCAAAGTTTCTATGATGTACAGAATGAGAAAAGACTACAGGGTGTCAACACTTACCCGCCTGAATGAAGCAAATGCTAGTAAAAATACCCCCAACAAACCATTTTCAAGTTTACATTCATAGCAAAGACCTGGAAACGAGCTTTTAAGTGATTATTTTCTCCTTGTGCAGTTTAGTTTTATTACCCTTATCATAGTCATTTTCCTTCTTCAGTTCTTCAAGTAAGTTGTATTAATTTTAAAATGCAATATTTATTAAATATTGTAGTATTAGATAATGTCTCAGTCCTCCAAAGGCTTCTGAATAGTTTCCAATACCACTATTTGGAAAAGCAGTAAAGACAGCACTTCTAACACCAAAATTATCATTTACTTTGATCCAATATGAAAATACTGGTTTTCTCAATATTTAGGAAACACATGCAGCAAACATGAATAAAATTAGAGTTGAAAATAATTTAAATGCTATTTTTAGTGTCTGCACTATTTTTTGCATTAAAAATACCATGGATTATGATTTGCAATAACAAAACCCCACTTCTAATAAACTACCTCTAGCCAGTCCTAAGATTTATTTAGAAATGCATAGAACACATGGGGACTACAATAGGATTTTTGACTCACTAACTGAACCTGATTTTTTTTTACTTTAGCATATTACATTTGAATGCAATTTTACATTTCGAAAAGTCTCTTTCCTTGATACAATCCCATGAGGACTGTAAAACATCAGTAGTTGTATAATATGTATTTCAAAATCAGGACACTAAAATGTCCAGGAGTGGGGTGAATTTTCTGTGATGTAGCAGGAGGCAAGGCCATCCCAGGGCCCAAGGCTTCAAGTTCCCTTCCCTGATTTGTGTCTTCAGCTAGTCTGAGAGAATGACTCAGAGGACATTGAGAACTGCAGCTCATTCTCATTCTCTACTGAAGGCATGTCAGCTTTCTGGGGGCACAGGAGGCATAAGGAGCACTGTGTTCTTACCCAGTCCCTAGAATCTGTATGAAATGTTACCCTGATTCCCATTATACTTCAATACAATTAAGCTAGATACATTCAAAGTCTACCAGAGTTATCTACTATTCTCAAAACAATAATGCTAAATTTAAAGCAAAACAGAAAAAAAAAAAATAAATGGTATAGAAAACCACTCAACTAAGTGAGAAAACTCAAAGGCTACTAAGGAGTCCCTAGAAGTTAAAATACAAGAGAGTACACAGAGGACTTTAAGGAATGTGAGCTCAAGGAAAATCTGATTTATACTGAAGAAGAAAATACTTACAGAACTTCTATTTCTGAATAATTTCTTGGGAGCATTTTGCAATTTGCAGGCCTTCAAGTAATTCATCCAAACAAATTTATCTTTTCTATAACCTAAAAAAAAAAGTATGTACTGCTCAAAATACCCACAAGATATAAACACATACATATTAAATATCCTTATTTTTATTCAGTCTTGTCAGAAATTCAAACCTTTAGAAGATTACAAAAAATAAATTAAAATCTCTTAAGTTGTTTCAATGTTATTTAATGTAAGAATTTCAAAACTGCTGAATGTGATTTCCCTTCATGCATTTCATTCTCTACATTTTTTAAAATTTATTAAGATAAGGAATGGTCACAACACCAATGGTTTGTCGGGAGTCTAGTCTCCCATTACAACTATCCAAACTGAACAAAGGGAAAAGACAGAAGTTCCTCTCTCTGTCCATCACTGCTCTTCACAAAGCCATTTCACCAAGACAATCCACTGTCCAGATGATGCAACAATCCATGGTGCCAGATGCGTGAGGCATATTACAGAAAGCCCTCTGCCAATCAGACAGCATCAGGCAGCCCCCGCTTCGAGCTCCTTGGTGTCATAGGATTCCCATTCATGTGTCCTGAAGTGGCTCACCTGGTGTTGACCCAAATAAAATGGACTCAATAATAATACTTTCTGATCGAGTATTAAACAGAGACTAAAACTTCTCACACAGCCATCAGGTCATGACTGCATCTCTAACTCCACCTCCTACCTCCTTCTTCTTGCTTCTCTGTTTCCTCCATTGCATAAAGCACACTCTGGTCCTGGGACACCTACTCTTGCTTCTCTCTCTGACAGTGCTCTTACCCAGGGAGACACATTCTATGCACTCTCATTTCCTCACTGTCAGCTGTCATCTTCTCAGTCCTTTCTTTACCACACTGTAAAAGAGCACACCCCTGTGACCACTCTTAGCCCTCTAACCCTGTCACTGCCTGACACCAGATCTCTATCCCTATTTATTATTCATCTCCCCTCTAGAATAAAAGCTCCATGAAGACAGATGGTTTATTTTACTCACTGCTGTGTCTCCAGTGCCTGCAAATAACTATCTACTGAATGAGTGACCTATTAGTATCCTCCACAAAATTCAGGAATCTTTAGGGACTCAAACCTTTAGCCTCAGCAACAGATCCCAAAGGAAAACCTGAGTCAGTTACTGATAAAAGAATATATTAAGAATATGCTGACTTTAAGGTTAACATAGTCACTGAATGGACTAACATTCAAACAGAAGATCTTATATAGAAGTTTGTCTGTGCAACAGGAACACTGATACCTCAGTTGATCAAGCTCTCACCTCACCAGAACACAGCAAATAATACAGGCTTTAGTCACATTTGTCGGTTCCAGGCTTCTCTAGCATTAACAAAAGATTAGGAGATTTCTAATTTCCAACAGAAGAGCACAAAATGAAATAGTTTTCAGGGATCACAATTCCTTGTTTCCCATGATTTCTGCTTGAAACAAATTACACGCAATGAATCAAGTTTCCTCATCTAATAGTATTGAAGATTGGGGTATTTCATTTTAATCATGATGTAAACATTTGTTTCCTTCATTCTTCCTAAGCTTTAATAAACTTAATGTAAAATAAAATATTCTCATAAGAATTTATTTCTATCCCAGATAGTTTATCAGAATGTTTCATTTACATATTCACTGATGCTTGTCTTTCCAAGACATTTATTTATTTCTAAGAATGGTATCCTTGTATTCCTCCTGCTTTTTTGTGAATCAACTTTCACTTTGAAAATCAATTTGCACTAGTCTTACGTGCTAGTATTTCATGAAATGTTGTTAAAATAAAACTCCCTTTCCATCCCAGCTTACCCTTAGGTATGTGCAATTCATGCTTGGTCTTTTCACACCACCCTACTGGATGAATGTCAGGGGACCCAGCATTGGTCCAAAAATCATAGCAGCTTAAATAACCATCAAAATGAAGTCTTAGTCGATAACCACACACCTGCAAAAGGAATTGCAATCATTCATGCATTTATGATAAACACAAACTAAGAAATATATTTGATGAGCACCATCAATGTGTATGAATCAGTCTTTCCAACCAAATATGTTTGAATTTTGACCTATAGGTAACATCTGAAGAAGAAAAAATGCTGACTAAATGAAGTCTTTCAAGTATTGTACTCTTTTTCCTGCAAAAAAGTTATACTTTTACTCAGGCTAGAAATCTGATGTCACTTTGCATGTGCATTAATAGAGCTTATTTATCAATTCAATACCTATCAAATATTACTTTGTGAAACCCTACCTCAAGTTACTGGGCTTATATTCATATCCCAAGACAATATAAAATAAGGTATAGAACAAAACTAAAATAGGTATCACTATTTTAATTCCAACACTGGATCCAGCATATACAATAAAGGAAGTAACGCAGACAGAGAAACATTTCTTCTAGTCATGCTATACACGTTTAAGAACTACAATCAGAGAGTAAATTAAGTAAATTGTTTTGTGTTCAGTATTATTAAAAAACAAATATTTTTGTCAATTTAAGAAAATAATTTCTTGTAAATACTACATTTTATAAATCATTTACTTTCATCAATTGCTCTTTACTACATAATTTTCATTAAATGCATGTATTTATATGTGTAATCAATATATATATGTATATACAGAGATACTTTTCATACGCATTTCTCATCAGTTCATCTAAAACTTGAATAATGATTCCTTTTAATAGAAAAAAACAAACTTATGGTTTGTTAATGGTTAATCAATGTCAAATGAAAACTTTACCAATGAAATCCATACTAACCATTACATTTGAAGTAGTTGTTGAAAATCAATCTTCAGAGAAGGTAAGAGTTCATTAAAAAACATGTATCACTCTTAACTAATAAAGTTATAATTACAGAAACATGTCTGTAACAGAATGTACTCAAATTTGTTATTCTATAGAAAATTCTCTTCTGTCACTGTGCAAGTAGCCCAAGACAATAACATGATCTCTTACCTCCGCTACAGAAAGCACACAAAATATAGATGGATGTCGGGGGTCAATGCCTTCTAATCTCATTCCAATCTGAAAACCATTTTCATGCTCTGGAAAGGACTGGTCCTAAACAATATCATGATATAACATTAGTCACTGAAATGTCTTCACAACCTGATATTAAAACACTTAGTGTGGCCACTCATATCAACAACTTACTACAATAGTTTGGAAGTTCAGTAATACAGCTAAAAATAGAGGGCCTGAAAGATGGTGTGATCATATTGTGCTAAACATTCTGAGAACTTCCCATTTTATCCCTCATACCCATTTGTCCTTTTTTTAATTTGAAAAACTCCTTCTGTTCTCTGAAACAACCCTTTGTTTATTACTATGATTACCTATTCCTGACCTGTGACTTGTCTTCAGTTTGTTTGTAGTGACATTGTTGGAGAGAATTTTGTTCTTTAAAATTTTGTAGTAAAATAGATTATTTCCTGTAGAGTTTGCATATCAGGCCAGAAATCCCTGACAACTGAGTACCTACACAGATGTTCCCATAGTGTTCTTTTCAAACTTTTTGTTCTTATTTAAATCTACATTGCCTTTGGAATTAACTTTCTACAGTGAGGAAGGGAATCTTTTATTTATACGGGAGAAAAAAATACTCAGAAGGGTTTCTAGTAGTAGATAATTTTATTGGTATGCAAAGTTAACACTGTTCTATCATTTTTCTAAATATCTGTGGACCTATTTCTGGCCTTGTGTTCTGTTCATGAAAAAAAAATGCCAGTAAAACAGGTTGTATTCACTTATAATATGTCCTATCTTTATCATCTTGGGCATTCTAATTCAAGAACTTTTTCTTTTCTCCATTTCATATAATCATTTTGGAAATTGTGTTTATTGGGGTAACACAATTAAACACAAACACTCAAACACTTGATTTAAAACGTTGTTTTTTTTAAGGGTATAAAACATATGTAAATGTTTTCTGAATCAATCATGTTTCACCTAGTAGGAACACTCCCTTCAGTAACCATAGATCACTTCTTAACTCTAGAAATTCAACATTTACATAACCCTTTTAACTAATTTTCCATTTATCTTCTGTTTTTTCCAGTTATTGTACCATTTCATTATCCAAAACAGCATTCAATTAGGGTTATATATTCAATTTAGTTGACTTATTTTCTTCAGTCTTTCCATAGCATGTATCTTCTTTAATACCAACATTTTAAAAGAACATAGTTCTTCTCCCTTCTCCATTATTTAAAAGGAAACTTTCTCATTTTCGATTGTGTGATGTGTCCCCACGAAGAGATTCAGGTTATACATTTGTTTTTGTTTTTTTTTTTTTGCAAGTATAGTACATGGATGACGATAAGTCCCTCTCAGGATATTGCACATGAAGACATATCATATCCATATCACTTATTATTCAACCACAGTGATTTAATTCTGTCACTGTATAGTTACAAACAAAATGTATAGACATATCCATGCATAAACATATATAGCTTTTATAAAACATCAATACATATCTAAATCTAATCCATGATCATAGGGTTCATAGGTTTTATTGTGCGTTTTTCCATACATTTTTTGTATTTCACCTCTAACAAGGTCAATACACTTATTCATGTAATAAATCCTATAATACACACACACTCACACCCACATATATATAATTATATCAGAACTCTTTCACTCACAGTGCTATAATAAACAAACCTACAAAAAGAGCTCATTATTTGTCTGCAATGATATTGCCTTCTTCTGTAAACAATCAATCCATAAATGAGGTATATAACTTAAAAATATGTTCAGAGCCCTCCCTGGTGGAGCAGTGGGTTAAAACACAACACTAAAAAGCAAAAGCCACTTTAGCATAGTTTCGATCTCCCAACCCAGAGCTGACGCACATGGCACAGCAGACCTCTCCTGACCCGCCCGCTGCTCCCCTCAGCAGTGTTCTTCTTCAGTCGGCTTGTTCTGCTCTCCACTGTCTCTGGTGAATCCTCTCACCTCCCCCCTGTACCTCTGGCCTGTACCCCAGTTCTGCATACATAAATAAATAAATATTTAAAAGAAAAACATGTTCATAAATTACTTTGATTCAATCTTTTTTTCTCAATGTGGATATGGTATTCATTTAAAATAACTGAGTCCATTGGCCTCATGTTGCTTTCACCTCTTTGTGATTTTTATCTGCTAATATATTTACTTTTTAAGTAAATATTGACAGATTCCCAAAGTTAAAGTTACATAAATTGTACTCAAAGTAGTGTCTCTTCTTCCCATATCCTACCCATCCCAAGTTCACACTATCTCCTGTAGTTTATAAACCTCATTGTTCTGGCTTAATCCTTTTTTTATTATCTTTGTGTAAAGATAATAATCTATTTGTGTGCTCTTATCTTATTTTTTACTTCTTGTTTACCTAAAAGGCAGCATACACTTTATGATGTTTTCCACTTTTTTTTTTTTTTTTCACTTTCTAATGTTCCCTGGAAACCCCTCCATATCAGGTCACAGTAACTGCCCACAAATTTTACACAGCTGTATTATACTCCATTATACTCCACAGTGTATGGGTACCTTATTTAACCTTCCATATTTGAGTGCATGACTTTTTCATATGAATTGGCTTGTAAAATGTCATTAAAATTTTCTTATGTTCACAGATTATTTTAAATGCTTCCAAGGTAAAGCTTAAAATATGTCAAAAACCAAAAAGAAATACCAAGAATGAATGACTTCTCAGGAATATTATTTCTACAAAATTAAATGTCATGTGCATGTTCAAATTTGCCATGCTCCTTCTCACATACACTGCTTGCCAGCAGATTGTAATCAAGGAGTTTTGTGGGACCACATCCTGTTCAATGCTTTAAAATTTCTTGGTTAACTTCAAAAGCACCATATACCTATACACATATACTCACAACACTAATAAAAAAGGAAAGAAGGGAAGAGATACCACAAAACCTGTAATGCTGAAAGGTAACTTAAGAAGCTACAGAAACTGAGAGAACATTTCCATATTTTTGCAGAACTGAAAAATGCCAAGTGAGTATGGGAAGAAAATGGTATTATGTTGAGCACACTACATTGTCTTATTACAAATGAATGATAAATTCAAGACACTGGCAATAATTCACAGCTGGGAGTTAGGATGATCAATGTTAACTTGTCAGCATTTCAAATGGTTGCTCAATTGAACATTTGGGAGCTTTATATAATGTTGCAAGAACACTATGATGACTTACATATCATAGCATTCTTTGGAGGGTTTCAAGTGAAAACCAAGCTATTCATTTTAGCATGAAATATCATTGTTTTCAATGATCTCTTTTTTATTCAATGATTTATATATAGCATATTTAAATTTTCCTTTCTAAAAATCTTGTATTTTATGAGTCTATGATAGCTATGCTTATAAGTGTTTCATAATGAAAAAGAAAACTGAAATCATTAAATTTAAACATTAAGTCCATTACATTAAAAGCAGTCATAAAGAAATAAAACCAAGTTTGTAAACCTAAAAAATGCTTTTATAGAAAAATAAACTCAAGACCGAAGACTTTGATCTGAAAGTCTCCCAACTACTTGTTCTACAAAAAGGGACAATATGGTAACCAAATTGGTAAAGCAAAACTTGGTTTGAGCTTATGGAAGACCCTAGACACATTTCCAAGGGAGCACCTGGTCCTCTTGGGCATAGAAGTTATTTTGTTTCATTATTTTCTTCTCTCAGAAAAGTATCAAAATGATTTTCTATTTTTGGTATTTTTGATTAATTGTGTCACAAATGATGAAAATCTCAGGTACCTCAGATACAAATTATAAACAACAATTTAAAATAAAATAAAGAGCCCTTCCTGGTGGTGCAGCTCGTTAGAACACAGCACTGCAAGCTAAGCCAGTGGCTTTAGTGCATGTTTCATCCCCGGGCCCAGAGGTGACCCACATGGCATGGCAGACCTCTCCAGTCTTGCCCATTGCTCCCCTCAGCAGTGTACTTCATTGATATGCCTGTTCTGCTCCCCACTCTGTCTCTGGTTAATCCTCTCACTGCCCCTGCAACTCTGGCCTGTACCCCAGTTCTGAATGCATAAATAATAAATCTTTTATAAAATAAATTTGACAATTAGGAAGGAAAACCACCATTCCTACACAAAAGCAGGCAAGTCACTAGCAAAAATTCCTTTATGAATGATGTGTAAGAACACTCATTTGTGTCGATGTCAGCGAATCTTTTCTGCATGAATACACAACGTCATAAACATGCAGTGTGAACATCTCTCAGACATTCAATCAATAGGGATGAAAAGTTAGTTATTTTGCTGTTTATCTCTGAGAACCCCGTAACAAGAGCAAAAAGATAATGCTTCTAAATGGTTGTGTCTGCATCACTATCCAGACTGCAGAAGGGTGTAGCCTGGGTTCTAAAAGAGCATCAAGTAGCTATGGGTTACAGAAGAGTATTCATGTGTAAGGGACAGACTATCTGAATGTCCACAGTAATTTTATTCTATGTATTTTATTCTATAACAGGAGTTGTCAGTCAGCAACATTCTTCTGATCTTAATTCAATGTTGAAAGAAATGAGGGAAACTGGGGCTGCATCAGAATCATAGCTATTAAGGTACGTTTTTAGTCTACTATCCAAAGAACTGGGAAAAGCAGCAGACCTCCCTCTGATTTCCAAAGCTTCACAGGTTTCATGTCAAACGGGAAAGTGTTTGTAGAAATCTTACATGAAGATCATTAAACAAAATTTCCTATAACACCAAAGGCCACTGTCATGATTTCATTAGCATGTTTAAATGGTATCTCTACAACATCTTCATAATCTTAATGTTCTCAGTGTGTATCTTTAAAGCTAAAATACAACAGTTTTAAATGTGAAAAGAAAATCATCAGGGAAGTCTTGTGGACAAGCTATAACAAACAACTTGAACATAGGGAATTTAAATCTGATGATACACAGCTCTTTGTTAAGATAGAGTTAAACTTTCAGGCTTTGAGTGACATTCATATTGACTTATTATCTGATGAAATGAATGGAATCTGAGTTTATGTTTGATTTAAAATAACCACAATTATATATGTGTGTATGT